GCAGCCCGTATCTGTACCCTGGATCGGCAAGTCACTGGCTTCCTTAGTGTCTATGGCTCTGTAAGGGTGGGAAACAGGAGCTAGTAGACCCATAGCTTGGCTGTACAATGCCCTTCAGCATTGGGAAGGTTAGCGCTCTCTTCTAGTGCTTCTCATGCCTAGTGGCTCAGGTGCTGTCCACCCATTTGCTTGTACCTTTCTCAGAGGAAGGCTGGAAATGTTTGTCACTGGTGTGAGCACTACAGTGGAGCTGCTCTGACCACAACCCAGCATAAGCCTTGCACTATCTGCAGTCACGTGCACACACGCCCCCCTACACACACGTGTGCACACAGGCCACACGCAGGCCTGCACTGCCGTTTTCTTTTTCTTTTTTCCTTCATGCACTTCTGCATTTTTTGTGATTTCTGCTTCTTTTGGGTGCTCAGGTTGTTCAGTCAAGAACAATGTGTGGCTGGTCTTTCCCCCGCATGTGCTCTCATCTAAACCCGGCAGCATCCTTGGGGCAGGCGGCACAGGCTGAGGTTCCGGCCCTGCTTCAGCTGCTGCTGTGAGGATGGCCAGGAGAGGGTTCGGGGCATTGCTGCCCCATCTCCCTGTCTGTCCCTCGTGTCGGTGTCCAGATCACCAAAGAAGGAGCAGCCGGAAGAGCTGTGTGGGCTCAGCTGCCCTGGGGAGCACCAGCTTAATGGAAACCACTGGCCAGGTATCCCTGTGTCTCCAGGAGCTTGGTCATGTGGCTTGTGTGAACATGGTTGCCTCCTGTTCCCTAGGCCCCTGGGAGGGGTGCTCCAGGAGGAACCAGAAAGAGCTGGACCTGGTAGGTGCCGGCACCACACTAGGATGCACGTGTAGTGGCCAGAAGGACAGTTGGTGCCCTGGGGCTCAGGAATGCCCAGAATGGTTGTCTACTCACGGCTGCAAGCCCATGTGATGGGGGCCCATGGTCCCACATTGGGAGGGTGCCAGAGAGAGGGGAGGACAAGGTCAGCAGGGCTGCACTGCTCAAGAGTGGCCACAGCTTCTCCTGAGCCACTTATTTGACTATAGTTCCCAGGGAGGAAACTGGTCCTGTCCCTTGTGCCCTCCTAGGTTGGCCACCCTGCCCAGGGTGTCTGAGAACACCTACTGGGCCAGGCTTGTGCCCAGGGGCAAGTACAGTGGCCCTGGATCAAGTGCTAACAAGCTCATGTGATGAACTCTGCTTCAAGCCTGGCAGCCCTCCAAGGGCCCGCTCTGCCACTCCCGCCTGTATGGTGTGGAAGGACCCAGAGAAGGCCACCAGGCACCGTTCCCTCTGTTTGGCTTGGCAGTGTCTGGATCACATCTAACATGAGGGCACCTCTGGGCCCCCAACCCTGCACTGCCCACAGCACTGGCCTAGGGACCTGTGCTGGCTGGGGCCATTCCCTGCCCCCACGTGGCCATCAGCTGCAAAGGCCAGAGTGACTGGGCCTAGGCCAAGGTGGCTCACAGTACCTTACAGGGCACTGTGCTGGAACACTGGGCAGGAGAGCAGGGGAGCAGGGACTCTGGAGAAGGAGCTGGTACCTTAACCTGGACTCCCAAGAAGGGAATCCACAAGCTGGAACGAGAGCAGCAGAGCGTGGGCCCCATGAATGGACATTGGAGTGAGCTGGAGCTGGGTCTGCAGAACAACTGAGTGTAGCCCTGAGTGTGTGAAGGGGTGCACAGTCAGCAGACATGTGTTGCTACCTCAGTCACAGAGAAGAGCAAAGGAAGTGTCCAAATGGTGGGCAATTGTCAGCTGCTACATACAGGAAGTGAATGGCTGGAGGGGAAGTGGGTGAGGAAGATGAACTGGGTCTTCCCCTGGTGAGGCTTGAGGGGCAGAGAACAGAGGCACCCTGGGCGTGCTTATGGGGAGAGCAGCAAGGGGAGGTACCTGCAGGCCGCTCTTACCAGGCCATGTGAGCAGACATACAAGGGCTCTCTCTGGTTGAGTTTAGACAATGTCCTGTGCAGGTGTCTTCCACCCAGGCTGGCAGGGCCTGACGAGTGACAGGGGCTACATCAGAGGGGACAGGAGCCAGAGGCTAGAGAGACTTTCATGGGATGTTGCTCTGTGCCCTGTAGCTGCCTCTGCCATAGCCACTCTGGCCCATGGTGGGCACAGCCACCCTTTGCAGCAGTGGTTGGAGAGCTGGGTCTTAGAGTCACATCCCTGTACCTGTTGTGTTCAAGTGGACCCAGAAGTGCAGCCTGGAGCCCAGGAGTGAGAAGGTCACCCAGATGTGGGGAAGAGCTGGGAGACCGAGCCCAGGTGTGCTGGCCTCTCTGAGGAGGAGGGACACAGCAGAGGCTGTGAGGTGTGGGGCCAGGGAGAGTATGGGCAAGCAGAAGCCTGTTCAAGGGAGGCGACCAACAAGGCTGCGCCATGCGGGGGCGCTGAGGAACCTGGAGCCTATAACTGGCTTTGGGGTTCCTAGCGGGGTCTTCTGGAGACCCTGACAAAGAGCAATTCTAGTGCTGCACTGAGGGGTGGGAACTTAACGGGCGGGATTAGTGTTTAGGTCAGTGGCCACCCGGACACAGCACTCTATGGAACGGGACGCTTGTGTGAGAAGCAGCACAATGCTGGGACAGAGGGTGCGCTGCTGGGGCTGATTCACTGTTGCTATCTTTTAGCTCTCATCAGAGATGTTTTTATGTTAGCAAGCTGTTGTAGACAGTAAACTCTGTCAGCATTGGGGATTGAACCTAAGACATTTCTGCTGAGCTACAACCCAGCCCTTGAAAAAATTTTTGAGATAGAGTAACACAAAGTTGCCAGGTTGCCCAGACTTCACTTGAAATTGTAACTTACCTGTCTCAGCCTCATAGAATGCTGGGATTACAGGTGTGCACGATCAACGCCAATTTATAGTGAGAGCTTCATGGTATGGGAGGCAGGGGAAGCCAGGAAAGGTGTCCTCTTGTCCCCTTCCTGGAGAGCAGTGCTAGATTCCAGCTTTCAGGGGCTGGGTGTTTGGGCAGCCCTGGGCTCCACACAGGTGATGAGGACAGTGGTGGCCATGGACAGACAGGCTGGTGGATACAAGGTGGAGACTGTGCAGACCCCTGTTCCTGTGTTTCATTCTGTGACACAGGAAGCTGGTTGCCAGCTGGGAGTGAGGTGGAAGACACAGCCAAGTGAGGAAGAAGCGACCCCAGCTTGTGCTGAGCCCACCCTTCCTGGCCTGGGTATCCGGCCATCAGCACCTCCTTCCCACACACCAACCCTTCCTTCCAAGCAGCAGGAGCTGGGTTCTGTCCACCACAAACCCCTCGGCTCCACGCTGGGGCTTGTGCACGCTGCTGCCTCAGCTGTCTCATCTCTAGGCCAAGGAGTGACCCATTACCCCAAGATGTCACAGAGCCCTAAGTCTGGAAGTTGAGACAGCACTGGCTATGTACAGGGCTGCCCAGTGTCAGTCGCTTGCCCTTGGCTCAGCCTGAAGACACCAGCTCTGTTGTTCAGTACCCACTGTGCCCTCCCAGAACTCAGGCCTCCAGCAGGCACCAGGGTACTAGGTCTAGGTTCCTCTGGGAATCCAGGTCCACAGAACACTGGGGTCTGGCTGTCTGTGTGGATGGCTAGCAGGGCAGTACGTCAGAGGGGCCTGGCAGAGGAGGAGTTGCTCAAGAAATGGTGGTGGGGTGCCAAGAGATCGAGAGAGGAGGGGGAGAGATCCCACCAGGCCATACCACCAGTGCTCCATGGACTCCTCCAGGCTTTACTTCCAGCATCTGCTGACAGCACTGGCCTGGAGCTCCCTGGCCTTGCAGTCCCTGATCTCTGAAATGGCATTCTCTGCTGTCTCCCATGGCCAGCCATCCTCAATGTGGGAAGAGGGACAGGAGTAGACCCGATGCTATCTGGTCCATGGCTGTGCACTGAGGCATAGAACTAAGCCAGGACATACTTACTGGTCCAGGGCCTATCCTTGTGGACCAGCTGAGCCCAGCAGCCTGTGTGTGGTTTGCTCCTGGCAAGAGGGAGCTGGGGGGCCAGAGCACACACTACCCTACCCACCAAGCCCCTGTCTTGCTCACCCACCTATAGGTTTGGGGTAATAACCTGATGTCTCACACTGAGGGCACTCCCAACCAGGGCTCCTGCAATGGCCCTGAGAAAGAGAACCAACTGTTTAGGGACCTTGAGTCTCCCAGTCAGCCTGACACCCCACACTTTATTAACACACTTTGTTAAAATGTCTTGCAACAAGCACTGCAGGATCAGGGAGGAGCTGGGTCCTGTCCACCACAGACCTCTTACCTCCAGGCAGGGCCTGACATCTGGCTGCTGGTGCTAAGTGGGGGGATGGGTGCTGTGGCATGGCTCTTCTGGAAGTTACTCTGAAGAGGTAGCCAACCACACGGGCCCTGAGCCATCTGAATAAAGCTCCTTTAAAAATGGGGGCGGTTGTCCAACCAACTCCAGAATGCTCCTCTGGTTGGATCTAGTCCTGCTTTTTCTCAGCTTCCTGGGGCTCTAGGACTGATCTAGTAGGCACACAGCCTCAGAATGGCCTGAACTCCCAATGTGGTCCTGCTCCCTGGCATCAGTGGCCTGCCAAACCAGATGTGAGCCAAGATCAGTCCAGCAATAGCCTGACGTAGCCTGTCCGTTAGCTTCTCCAGAGGCAGATGTGCACCCAGGGATAGGCCTGGGGTACTTGTCTTCCCAGGGGGTCCTACTGAATGAATCTCTGCCACACCCGTCCCTCTGACTGGCCCTTGAGGGGTGGCTTGTGGTATGCTGTCTGCTGGGATCCTAGAGTCAGGCTCTGGCCCAGTGCTCAGGTACAATTCCAGCAAACCCAAGACATTCTGAGGAAGAGGCACTTTCCTCTGTGAGCACACACAGCTTCAACTGTGTCCAGGATGATGATGGCCAGTGTTCTGCCAACCACTGTGGCAAGACTATGTCATCCTAGGCCTTGGCTTAGAAGGGGAAACAAAGCCTGGAAAATTGAAGCACTTACTTCAGACCCAAGGTAGTTCCATCTGAATATTTTATTAGGAAAATGTTAAGTGCATATACATCTTTCAAACAGATATGACTTTAAAGTAGAAACTGATGCTTCTCAAAGACTTGTTATTTTTTTTTAAAAAAGAGCACACATTTTGCACAGGGATGCCTTCGGCTGGGCCAGCTTCACATTATCGGGAGATGCGACTGACAACACAAATACAGTATTCGTCACATTGAACACGGAACCCATCGCTGCTTAGCCACTGAGCACTCAGCGAGGCTGCAGCCCGCAATCTGGAACACTACAGTCAGTTTAGGGGACCTGGAGGTTTCTGGGAGCATTTCTAGGGTGGGCATCCTTCAGAATGGTCAGGGAAACTGCATAGAGGAATCAGGGGCCCACCCTCTAGGAAAGGGACTCAGTTCCCAGGTTGGAATCTCCTGATGGTGGAACAACCAGAGGAAATCACACAATGAAGGCGCCAATGGGGTCCTGTGGGAGGGGACTCGGTCTCCGGACTCCAGGCACACAGACCACCTCTGCTCTTCCAAGCGGACCTTTCCTAGGATTTGTGCACCCTTGCTGGTGCCTCAGTGGCTGGCAGAGGGTGGACAGTGGTGTACAGGACACAAGGCACAGATCTGGACGCCCACACACAACAAGCCCCAGCCCCAGGCCCCTCCCATCTGGTGCAAAGGCTGGCAGCTGAGGAGCACGGTCACAGAGCCAAGAGGATGTGGGGAGTGCTACGTCCTTGTCACAGCTCCCTGGTGCAGTGCACTTGACTCTAAAGCAAAGGGATTAGAAGGGGAGATTTTTCCTTTGCAAATGGACTATTGAAATGCGCATTAGCTATAGCCAGTCAGTCTCCAGGCAGGGGCAGATCTTCAGGGGGAGATGAATTGTCACACAAATGGTGCTTCTGCCATCTCTGCTCTGATCTGCTGTCCCCTGGGGAGGAGACACCAGGTGACTGCCTCACTGCAGTTGAATGTGGGCTCTCCCTAGTTCCTGGGACCAAGAGGTTTGACTTGATGGTCTTGGGTCATGGATCCCAAGGAGAATCTTCTAAATTTGCCATGGATTTAAATACCTGGGTTACCTAGAAAGCGACATCCACAGAAGTTTGGCCATTTCATAGGTCACTCAGAATTGCTGTAGTGATAGACCGATTTCAAATGATGGTTTTGAAATTAGTTCAAATCCTGGGAAATAATAAACTTCCTCCAAACTCCTGTTTTTCAATTTAACTTGGTTGGTTTGAGAATTTTAATTCTTGTTTAAATAAGGGGAAACTTTTGGTGGATGGATTTGCTTTCTCCTCGGAATTGTCAATTTATGGATGTGTCTGGTCCCTAGTACTGATACTAAATGATGAAATCACAAATGCTCACGACTCAGGACCTGCTTTTCTTTCTGCATCTTCTTCTTTGAAGAATTTTACTAGTGTCTGCCACCAGGACTGGGAGACTGACTGCAGGGAAAGCGCACGGGTAGCCTCGCGTGCCCTGTTTGAGTGCATTGCACACAGGCAGCTCTAGGTCAGAAGGCAGCACTCTGAATCCAGGTACTTGACTGATCCTTTCCTGAAGGCATGCCTCCCCTGCTGGAGATGTTGGACTATGGTTGTAAGAGATAAGGACAGCCCTGCTAGGGGTGAGGTCAGATATTAACTGAAGAGGAGTCTTTGTTCTGGGACTGACTCTCTTACAGATTGTATCCTGAAAATAAGGTGGGGAATTCCTGCTACTTCCCCAACAAAGCTGAGCCAGAACTCTGCAGTCCAGACCTCAGCTGCTGCAGCAGCAAGGTGGGTCAGCAGGGCTGAGGTCGGTGCCACTGTGGCTCATTTCTCTCAGGCTCTGTTTGCTGGTCTCATGGGAAAAGTGGGGCTTCTCTCTCAGCCACATCCTGCACGAGGACCCAGGGCATCTCCCCATGCTCAACCTTTGCACACCAGGAGGGGGCAGCCTGCACCAAGACAGGGCTCACAGAGAGGGACCTTGGCTGTGAGTGGGGACACAGAAGCAGACGGCAGACAGTGCTGCACATGAGACAGAGGCGCATACAGTGTTTCACGGGCACTTTGCTTTCCTCTCTTTGCCCACCGGGAATGAAAGCTTTTGTCTGGAGAGCGTCCTTTTCAGGGTGACGGAGACAGTCTTGAGACACAGGACGATGAATGGATGGATGGATGAGACAGAGAACGAGGAATACAGCGATGGTGGAGAGAGCAGCAGGAGGGTTGGTCTCTGCCCTGGCCCAGGCCTTCTCAGCCTGGGAGCCCTGCTGTATAGGGGAAGAGGCAGGCCCCTCTGCTGGGACAGGGGTGAACCTCCCATCTCAACTAGAACACAAAACTCACAAGGAGGGGTCTTCATGGGAAAGCTATTATAATAAAGCAAATAACATAATGGCCTTAGCACAAGTTCCTATTTGCCACGATAACACTGGATTATCAAACTAAATGAGAAATAAACACCATGAGTTCTGCTACAGAATCAATGGCGAGGGAAGGGGAGCTGTGCAAAAGAAGCCCTTGGCCCTAGATCCGTCCTGCCCAGGAGCGGACGCCGCCCCTCCCTAACACTGATTGTGCAGGCCTGGGCTCCTGTGAGGTTCGCAGGCGATTCACCCACCTCTCACATCTTGAACCTCCTGTTAACAGAACAGAGGAGACACCATTAAGAGGGGTCCCAGGGCCAGAGGTGCGCAGAAGTCAAGGCCCAGCGTCATTTGCAGCCCAGGCACGAGTCTTCCTGCAGGATAGGGTGAGCAAGAGGCAGGGGAGGACAAGCAGGCAAAGCAGGGGAGGGAGGACTAGAAGTGGCAGGAGAGCAGACAGATGACCAGCAGTACAAGGCATGGCACACAAACACAAGACAAGGCCCATGCACGGCCTCACACTGAGACTGCAAGTCCATCCCAGCCAGGACAGGTGGTGGCCACCACAGGCTCAGTGGTCCCGACGAGAGGCACTTCGATGTCTATCAGCCCCACGTCCATCCTTGTCATCTCTTGGCTGTTGCTGTGCCACTCTAGCAGCCTCTATAAACCAGAGGTGGCCCCAGGGTTCTCCTGGGAGGCACCAGGGCAGGTGGCACGCAGTGGCCCACCCCCCTCACCTGGCTGTGACTGGATTTCTGGTTTCCCCACAGGATCCAGGCAGGATCTTCTGCTCTTCGGAGGTGAGGGTCTTCAGCCACCGGGTATGCTTTTGGGGCTTCATGAACCTCTCTTGAGACCGAGAGGTCAGTAGAACCTGCTTGTTCCTGCCTGTAGATGCTCCCCAGGTGGGGTGGCACTGGAGGGCTTAGTAAAAGTAAGGCTGCCCTGAGAGGTCCCATGAGGGAAATGGGGAGAGTGGCAGGCTTCCACTGGAAGATACCCAAGGGTGGGGAAGGGGCTGGGTGGGCATCTGTTCACTCAGAGGTGGAGGTCTGTTGTTTCCAGAGCTGCCAAGAGTAACACTGCTGAGAAGGTTGACCAGATCTCACTGTGCCAGCATCTTAGCCAGAGGTGAATAGCTGTGTGTTCTGTGACACCGAGGGAACCCATCCAGGCATAGGGATCCAGCACCCAGGGGCCCCAGAGAGTCCTACACAGGGATGTGCAGTCCCCCAGTTGTACTTCCTAGCCTTGTTGGTTAAGGGAAGCAGGATGGGGGTGGGTAAGGGGAGGGATGCTGGTGGAAGGAGACAAGGGTTCAAGATGTGAGGCATTTGTTTTCATGACTTCAGCCTTGCCTCTTCCCCCAGGACCATCACCCCCATCTAAATGGGAGACTTGGCCAAACTCTCAAATATCAAGGCGGTGGGGGAGAAAGTTCTAGAACGAAAGCAGACTCAGTGCAAGCAGATGTTTCCCTCTGGTGGGGACTGACTGTGCTGGAGTCCTTCCCAGCACGGGGGAGGGGACATGCCACAGCTGCAGGCTGTGCATATGGCTCCGCACATATCTGTTCCCAGTGGGGGGACCCATTCCACAACTCTGGAGTGAGCACCAAAGAGAAGGCTCCCTGGTAAGAGTCTGTATCTATCTGCTCCCATGCACCCACACCACAGCATAACCCCTGAACTTGCAGGCAGGGCCTCTGTCCAGCCCAACAGGAAGCCAGAGCCCAGGGAGGGAGGGTGGGGAGGGCCGGGCCACAGGGGCAAGTGGGCCACGGCCTGTCCTGAGAAGGCTGTAGGAACAGAGGGACTGAGGCAACAGGTGGAGGCATGGGGTGCCTCTCTGGGTTAGCAGACTGTGGATACTGTCAGCCAGGCAGTACCCCAGGTCCCGGTGGGGACAGGGAACTCAGTGCATGGAATTGTGTGGCCTGGGCTGGACCTGCTGTGCTAGGAGGATCCTGAGCACACAGTCTCTGAACAACTACTGTCTTCATAACTTAACAGGCCAGCAGGGCCTTTAGGAGCACAGAAATGGTGGCAGAGTGCGGCCTGGCACGCGGGTTGCCAGGCCAGGGGGCAGCGGGTTTATAAAGCGCCGAGAGCGAGCGGGGAGCACTGTGGTCCATCCAGCTGGCAGATAACTAGTTTTTCCTTTTCTGGGCAGCCTTTCTCTTCTTCTGTCGCTTCTTTTTTCCTATCTTTTCTTTTTTCCCCACTTTGTCTTCTCTGCGCCCCCTTAGATAAAATTACAACCATTAATGATGTTGAAACACAGGTTCTTCCTCAGTCTGCACATACTAAGGGTGGCCGTGGGTTGTTCCATCCTCACTCCCGGCGCTGGACCTGGAGGCTCTGGGGGAAGCCCCACCGGGGCCAGCCAGGCCCTATTCCCATGCAGGCAACTGCTGGACACCATCTGGGGCCTGGAGGCCCATTTGCCCCACCCACCCTTGTTCCTGCGACCCTGAGACTCTCTGGGGACAAGAACCCACACTGGGGGGTCTGGTCTCTTCCACTTCCCTTATCTCCTCCCTTCTCCACCCCGAGCTGAGGCTTTTCTGTTTTCTCCAAAAGTTCTCTGTGTTTCCAATTTCATAATGTTCTAGGTGGAGCCTGGGGCTCACACACTATCCTGGCTCCTGACAGAAGAGGAGGGAGGCAGCCTGACCCCACTATGCCCTCTCTTGGTACCACCAAGGTTATCTGTAATGAGGGACAGTGCTGATTAGCAGAGTTCCATTAGAGAACTGGCTCGTGACTGTTGCATTAGGGTGATTCGAGGCGAATGGTATTTAATGATTTATGGTGTGAGGCCACCTGTTCCCGGGAAAGCCCAATATTAACCATGGTTGAGAGTCATGGGAGTTTTACATGGGAAAATGGGAAGCTTGATATTACTGGGATTGAGTCTTGGGATTACATGAGGATGTTAGGAGGACCAAGGGGGAGAAGGAAGAGGAGGAGGAGGAGGAGGAAGAGGAGGAGGAGGAGGAAGAGGAGGAGGAGGGAGGAAAACAGATTAGTGAGTCAAATATTATTTGTCAGTACTCTGTTTCCACTGGATTTTTAAAAAAAGACTCAAAAACTTGAGCTGCAGATTTGATCTGTGAGTGAGAACAGCTCGAGAGCTGCTGCTCAGAATGGGCCTGGTGTCCACGCACCTGACTTGCAGGTGGCTTAGCTCATGATCTCCAGGAAGCTGTGTGTGTTTGCCTCTACACACTGGTAAATAAATAAATCCCCATGTACAGTAGGAGGTTTACACCAGGAAAATCATTAGCATTTTATTGCTAGTGTATACCATGACACATGATACAATTTTAACACAAGTGAAAAAATACTGTGGCTAACATTGAGAAGCTGCGGTTGATCACATTTGTATGTCATATATATTTCTGTACCCGCTGCCAGTAGCTTCAGAGTCGAAGGAAAGTGTGCTACTGACATTCATATGGCTCCACTGCAAATGTATGAACTGTTCCACTACAAATATAGTTTGAAGTACACTTGTTTTCTAAAGAAACAAAATGCAAAAGAAAATGTGCACAAAAAAAAAAATATATATATATATATATAAAATGCCTTGCCAAATGTTACATATTCCACCAGGGCCATCTGTGAATTGCATTTGTCCATCCGCCCACGTTTCTGATTGCAACCTGACAGCCCCTGTGGCTTCTGGGGAGGCTGAGGCGAGATGCTGTCTACTGTGCATCTTGTGCTTCTGATTTCAGAAGGGCCGTCCTGCAGAGCCCCATGTGTGCTGGGACTTCAGAGCAAGCCAAAACCCTGAGTCCTCAGCAAGCTCTGGCTGGAAGCTGCATTTATTAAAATTCTGCAGTCTCTGGTGGGAATGTGGGGTACAGATGCACCTCCTCCAGGAGGGGCTGGCTCCGTTCTGGAGGGGGCTGGAAGGGGTCTCACAGAGGGCCCGGTGGGGAGGCAGGAGGAGAGGAAGGGTGGCTCGGGCAGGCTACAGGAGAGGCAAAAGCAGGAAGCATGCTGCTGGAGCAGGGAGTCCTCGAGCACAGCCCAGGGGCAGCGGCTTCAGATGGAGCCCAGGCCCATCATTGATATTCCAACCAGTGAGGGCTGGGGGCAGTGGTTGGCCAGCCCTGCAGGGTCACGGCCACACAGAGGCCACTTGGAGGGATGTCCTGCAGGAACTGGCCTGGAGGACACTTTTTGGAATTCCCTGTGAAGAAGCCGCTTTCCCCTGCCTGTGCATGGAGCCCGTAGGGAGGCTGTGAGCCAAGTACAGATCTTGAAGTTATCATTGGTTTAAGATATGATCATGAGGATGAAGGTGATGACCATGAAGGGCTGCCTGGCTTAGAAAACCCCAGGCACGAAAGCTCCTAGGTACGAGGGTTGGGCACGCAGGCTGAACACAAGCTGAATACGGTGCCATGGCTGCATGTGCAGTGTCTATAGCTGGAAACCCAGCAGCCACGCGGGCCTCCTCCCAGCTCCGCCCTCCATCCCTGGAGTCAGCCTTCCTGGTGGGGCCAGTGGACAGTCCGCCTGGGCCGCCGCACGCTTACTTGTTTAAAGCCTTCTCCAGGTACTCCTGGATCCACTTCAGCTTTGGATCGATGCACACTTGCCTGTTGTTGCTCTTCAGCCTGGCACTGTAGAGACAGTGAGAAGGTCTAGGTTTGAGAGGAGCTCAGGGTAAGCTGGGGGGAGGAGATCCAGGGGTGCAGTGTGCTCCAGTCCAGACAGATGAGGTGAAGGAGCTGCAGCTCAGAAGAACTCAGGCTAGGAACACTCGAGTGGGCCTTTGGAGGATCAGCAGAAATTGGCACGTGAATAAGCAAAGGGGAAGACCAAGAGCTGGCATGCCAGGGGCCAGGGCCCACAGAGCATGTGGAGATGAAGGACGGGGTCTTCAGCTGGGGGATTCTGGAGACTGAACTTGATGGCGCACTTTGGCACACATGGGCAGGCTGAAGGGGAACTCAGTGGAAGTGCTGAGCTCCGTCAGGGGACAGAGTAAGGAGTGGGACAGTGCAGGTGGTGGAGGGGGAGATGGGGAAATAGTTTCTGGGGTGTTGTGTAACTCCAAACAGTCAGGATAGCCTAGCCAGCCCAGCAGAGCTGTGCAGCCAGCTGAGCCTCAGCACAGTGGCTTGGGCACAGCCATGAGAGTCCCTGGGTGACTGCCCACTCTGGGGACCATGTGCAGGCACATGGAATGCAGGTCTGGGCATAGCTGTGTGTTTGATTTAGAGTTTGCCCAGCACTGAGATCTGTGTTGGTCCCTCCCAGCTTTAGGATGTGCCCAGCAAGGGAGCTGGCACACACCTGTGCTGCAGAGCAGGCCCACACTGGCTGCGCACAGCACCTTCCCAATGCCCTTTCCACCAGACAGATCATCTTGCTTGATGCAACAGCAAAGCAGCCATCATAGCCTCTGGGGCCTGAAGCAGGAAGATCGCAAGTTTGAGCCCAACCTGGGTAAACCAGTGACTTAGTGAGAAAGTGTTGCTAAATGAAAAATCAAAAAGGGGCTAGGATGTAGCTCATTGCAAAGGCCTGGGTTCAATCCCCAATACCAGACAAAAGAAATCCATCTTCTAAGACCCCCATATAGACTGTAAATGACATTCAAAGTGCAGTGGGTAAAAAGAACAAGGACAAACCCAGGCCTCAAATGGGCAGAAGGGTGGAAAAGCCCTGGGAAGAGGCAGCCTTCTTTCCAACCCTACATCCTCAATTCACTATAAGCTGCAGGACTGTTAGAAAGGGACCCTTCCAGGGTTCTGGACCTCCCCTCCTGGGTCTAGGCAGCACCCCAGGAGTGCATTGGAGTCCTGGACTATGTCCTTGTATCTTCACCACCCTTGTGCACCCAACCAAGATATCTGTCCCCTTGTATTTGTGTGATCTGGGCTTTCTTGTTTTCCAGATGAATAAAAGAAAACACTGGCAGCTGCCCTCCACACCGAGCAAAAGCAAAACCTTATTAAGCAGCCATGAGAGAAAGTATACAGTTCAAGTGAGCTACAAATTGTGAGGCTTCGCCACATGGCAAAAGATGATCTCAGGTGAATTTGTTGTGCACTCTCTGGCAATGAGAAAGGAGTGAGTTTGGGCCTCAGAGCTGGCAGGACAAATACGGCTGTGGCCAGCGCAGGACTGCAGCCAGAGCCCTGGCCAATGAAGCCCACATATCTCCAGCCTAGTGGCAGCCAGCTGTGCTCAGACAGAAGGACCAGAACCACTGTGAGCCCAACAGGAGCCCAGGGCAAGAGGCTTTTGATACTTAGTTCGGGGTACATTTTGTGTTCTCATGGTAATGACCGCTACCACCAGCTGTGCTGAGTTCCCCTCCCCCACACACTTCTCCATTATACCCCTAGGGCACCACAGCTAGCTGGGCACAGCTTGATACTCACACAATCTGAAGGGCGCAGTTGGGAGTGTTGAGGATTTTGAGGTGCTTGACATTGGCTCTGGCCACATGGCTCTCAAAGAAGCGACAGGGACATCTGTAGCTCAGGCTGACAGGTTTCCCTGGAAAAGATAAAGGGACATGTTACCCTGCCAGCCGGTGCTAGGGGTTCTTGTGAGGAAGTGTGGGATTGGGGGAGCAGGGGAGGAGCTAATGTTATGGGCATATCCTGCCAGGACATCTCCAGGGGCAGCTCTGTGAGCTTGGGCTGGGCACAGGGGTGAACTCGGCCTCTGAGACACAGTGTTCAAATGGAAGCCCCCTTCATATTTGTCTGCAGATAAAGGCTAAAGGAGGCAATCATAGGAGGGAAGTATTTCAGTCTGAAGCCCTGAGAGTCCCAGTTTTTCTTTGCAAAATAAACTTCTGCAGAGTCTCTGTGAGAGACCTGTGTAGTCAGGGAGGTAGGAGGAAGGAGGCAGGAGGTTCCTTCCTCTCCCCTTTGCCAGGAGCCCCCAGCTCTGGGATGCCATCCCCCTCCTGCTCCCCTCAGCTTCACTCCAAACCCAAAAACCACAAAGGAACCCCAGGAGCTCCCGCCAGGAGACCAGAGGAAGAGGGGCATCTTTTCTCCAGCCTTCCTGATGCATAACTCCAAAGGGGAATGGGGTGCTGGGGGGATGGGGTGCTGTGGTCTCTGGATCCTATTACCTTCTCTGTTTGCCAATTTGACAATTTGTAAAATGCCATAATTGACACTCATTAGTGTAAATTAGCAAGGGGCTCCTTCATCCCTTTAAGCCTCACCCTTTAAGTCTAAAATTGCAAGCCCTGGGGGGCTGGGAGTTCTGGGGTTTTACCTTGTTTTTTTATTTTTGCCTTGCAGATTTTGTTCAAGCCCCACTTAATACCCCAAATTATTTGGTTTTGTGGCTCTTTTCATTGGGGCTAAATGAGAATACGGTGTCCAGGGACTCGTGTTTAGTGTACTGCTTCCAGCCTTCCTGGAGGCTGGGCTTTCTGAGTTCCCCACCTGGGCCATAGCTGAGGAGGGGGCTGAAGCGCTAACTGCATTCTCTCTGCAGGCCACATTCAGTTCAAAGTGGTTTGCACTGGGAAGCAGCCAGTTATGGGAGAAGCACACCCCTTCTAGCCCAGACCAAGGGCAACCAGAACTCCCATGGGAGAACCTGGCATCAGCGGCAAAAACCACCTCACGGCACTTCTAGCAGCTGCATAACCCCCCACCCCAGGTGGGCCTCACTGCAGCCCAGGGAGGCAATCGCTGGGGGAAGCAGCCCAGAAACGGGACCCAGCAGCCTGGGTAACCCTGGAGCCAATATCTCCCTTTAAGTGCCAAGCCTCAGTTCCCTCTATTGCCTTTGGTCCAAGATGGGAGCAGGAGAGCAATATATATATAGCTCCCAGCCAGATAGGACTAGCAGGCGGAGCACAGGGCCACTTTCAGACCGGCTCAGCACCCTGGGTGGCTGGGACTGTCCTTTTGCAGTCCCCAGCAATCTGGCCCACTCTAACCAGCAAGGGAGATCAAGCCAGAAATCAGAGCCTTTCCAAGCTCAAAACACAGGCTTTCTTTCTCTCTTCCCCCTGCCCCCTGGGATTATCCATTTCCTTCAAAGGCAATTCTTATTCCTGAGCCCAGGACCCCAGCCTGCAGCAAGCAGGGTTTCCACAGGTCTTTAAAGTGACAGAGCCTCCAGGTGTTCCATGAAGGGAGCCCAGTGCTGTGTGTGCTTACTCCTTTCCTCCAGCTTTTTGTCCACAATACAAACGTCTCTAGCCGTTTCAGAGTACAAAGGAGAGTCCTACTCCCCTGTTCCCAGATTTGGGACCCAGTGAGCCTGGCTCCCATAGCAGTTTCCAGAGAGCAGCTTGCTCTGCAGAGGACAAGAGTTCTGACTCCATGCAAGTGGGAGTAGGCTGGTCCACTTAGTGGGACAGTCAGGGCACCCAGATCCAGCCGCTGGGCACAAAGAGCTGGGCATAGAGAGATGGCAGGGGCCCTGGAGAGACTTCTGGTGCAGCCTGGGGGCTGGGTGGGGCAGGAAGTCAAGGAAAAGAGAATTCATCTCAGCCCAGTGTAGAGCAAAGGACCTGCCTGGGTTGCTGAAGGGGGTGACTCCAGGGGCAGCTCAGCCTTTGCCAGGGACCAGATCCCTTGCCCTACTTCCTGTGTGCCTCACCCAAGGTGGCAGAGCCCTAGGTCTGAGCATTTGGGCTCTGCAGAGGTGCCCAAGGACACTGTACCCTCCCCAGATCAATCATTAACCTCCAGCTGGAGGGCCGGCTCAGTACAGAGGAGTCCCTTGCAGTCTCAGTGCCAGGACTGGGGTGCCTGTAGCAGCCTTGACTAGTAGCTCTCCGTACTGCTGGAGTGCACTTCCCAGGTGAGCAGCCCTGGGTGGCACAGCCTCTCTTGCTGGGCTCAGCTGAGAGGGCTTACCCACACCTACACAGATACTGGGTCCTCATGAGGGCACCCAGCTTAGGTTCCTTGGCTCGATCCTTTGGGACAACAGCTGCAGGAGAGCACTCCGTGTCCCTCAGCCACTGCAGGAAACTTCGCAGCCAAGGAAGAGCAGGCTAGCCCCACAGTGTTTTGTTTTGTGGGTTCAGAGGCAACAGTTTATTTTGGTTCGCAGCAGCCGTGTCCTGTAACAGCACAGCGAGTTTTCTCGAGGGCGTCAAAAAGGAAAAAAGAAAGCAGAGCCCTTTCCCAGTGAAAGAGGACACCACCGTTTCCAGTGGCCCAAGGCCTTGGCGATTGAACTCCACTGTGACTCAGTCCCAGGCACAAAGGCGCCTGCCTGCAGGTGTGTTTGGGGGCGGGAGAGGGGCACATAGGGTCTGTGGCCTCTGGGCCTGACTATGGAGATCCAGTAAGAGAGAAGTTGGCAGTGAATGGGCGCTGCAGGTCTGCGTCGCTTCGCACCACTGAGCTGTGTTGAAGCACAGAGGTGCAAGTGGTACAGCTGCTGCGCGCCCGCGGGCCGCCCTGGCCCGGATGAGAGAACCGCTCAGCTTGGAGACGCGCGCACCGCATCGCACCGACTCCTGGCCAAGGCCAGCACCGTCTGGACTGGATCAGGAGCAAAGCACTGCCTCCGCCCGCTGGGTGTGCACCTTCAGCGCCCTGAGCAGGAGGCCCCGAGCCCTAGCTGCGGAGACCGAGTTGCACCAGCCAGGAGGTCCCAGCCTGAGTCGCCTAGACAGCTCCGATCCAGACCAGCGTCCTGCCCAGCCTCTCAGCACCCCTTGGGCCGCGGCCGCTCCGTGCGGGACGCTGAGCCTGAGAGCGGCTGCCAAGTGGCTACCTAGGTCTCCGGGCTCGCGGCGCACAGGCAGCGGAGCACTCACCGTCCCCGAGGCACAGTGCAGCCAGCACGAGGGCCAGCACCGCGACGACCTTGGCGTCCATGGCGCGGGCTGCTGAGGACCGGTGAACGGACAGACAGATGGACGCAGGGTCGGGTGGAGAGACGGCGGCGAGTGCAGAGAAGAGCGTGGCGGCCAGGGCGCCGGGCGCTTTAGCGAAGGCCACGGGGCGGGCCGGGGGCGGGGCGGGGCGGACTCTGCGGCCCGGGCTCTGACGTCCCCGCCCCCCGTCCCGCCCTCCCGGAGCTCCCAGGAGGCCCGGGATCCCTCGGGTTCGCGCTCCCACAGAGCGAGTGGGGAGATAGGGCTGAGGGAGAGGCTGCGAGACGTGGCCTCTGGACGGTGGGGGCTGAGTGAAGACCCAGCACAGAAGAGTGGTCGGCCAGGGTGTATCCTGTGGAGGCCACGAGTATCCTGCAGTGCACAGGCCAGGGTGCCTGCTGGCTGGGCCTAGAGCTCCTTGGCCTCAGGGACACAGCGACACTAACCTTAGCCACGGCTCTACTAAGGAGCCTCAGTTTCCCGACCTCCTAGCGGTCACGCGCCCCCGCTGCAGGCATGGGCATCTCCAGTCCAGTAGAACCCCAGCCCTTGTGCTTCTGAGTCTGGTCCCCTCGTACACGCAGTTGACACAGTCCGCACCAGTAGAGGGCCTGGGGACCTGGTAGAACCCCAACTTCTCATCGTCCTGCCCCCCACACGGTCAGTTGTGTGTGAAGGCTGCACATGGTCTCTCAGACTTCAGGACCTGCTGGTCTCCCCGAGGTCGCCCAGACGCTGCCACCAGAACACAAGGCAGCAACTTCTCTAACCGTCGTTCCCCATGTCCCAGCCCAGAGGACCCCACCTGACCTGGCCGAGGGCGCCCCTGACAAAAAGTCCCGCGGTTCTCCATGGGCGCGAAGGGACAGCGCTGTCCCGGAGTCCTGGCATCCCGGCCTGAGCTCTGGGCGAACGAAGGACACTCGCACTATACCTGGGGACACGGGATGAGATCAGAGAGGCTCCATTCCAGTCCCGGCACTGGTAGCGGAACAGTCTTTTGCAAGTTTCCTCTAACCACCGTGGGCCCCGGGGAAGATGCATCGTGGGCCTGTGCGCATGGATTCATTCATTCATTCATTCATTCATTCATTCATTCATTCATTCATTCATTCATTCACTCACAAGGGCTACGTACACTTGAAGTATAGGACCTGAAAATGAGTACCGTGGATTCTGTCTCCCCTCCCACCCCTCCTCGCTGTAAAGACCAATGCCCGGCCACACCGCGGAGGGCCAGGCTCGGGCGCCCTCTGGCGGCAGTACCTCTGCCTGCTCCTGAGGTAGAGCCCTGGCTGGAGTCCACCAGTTCCATGCTGTGCTGAGAGGACCTGCCAGACTCCCCAGGCCTGGGCGATGGAGCCCAGACAGTCTGAAAGCAAGTGCCAGAACCTCCAAATGCCTTGTTTGGGCCACCAGATGTGGTGGGCAAGACCTCCTGCAGCCCAGGAGACCCCAGATAGAAGTAAATGTGGGGCCAGGGGGCCCACTGTCCCCCAGCTGTTCATTATAACACTTGTGTGAGCACCTACTGTGTGTTAGATAGGGCTCAGTGTGGTGAGAAAAGGAAGCAAATCCGCTCTCCTGGAGTCTGCATCCTGGTAGAACAAGGTAGCAGATAGCCACAAGGAATCACCAGGAAAGTTTGGACAAGGCAGGTGGAAGGGAGGGTGAGGGTTGATAGGGATGCTCAAGGCCCTGTGTTTTAGATGCAAATCCTTCACAGTGCTAGTAGGCAACCTACAGGCACAGCCCTGTGCGTGCTGGGGCCTGGTGGAACAGCAGGCTGATTGTGAATCTGTCCTCTCACCCTGCTCTGTGCTCGGCCCAAGGAGCCTCCCAGACTTGAGGCTGCAGCACCCCACATTTCTCCTTCCTCTCACGGATGTGCCATCTCCACTCAGTTCAACCCCATTAGCCCCATGGTGACTCCCAGCTCCCCACTTTGCAGGAGGGGTCCAGCAGCACAGGGAAATGGGATCCTCAATTTTGCAGAATTCCGGGGGAGACAGGGTGTGTGGTGGGGAGCTGGAGGCAGGTGTAGCCTGAGGCCTGGGTAGCCACAGCATCCAATTGAGCAGAGTGTAACTAGCACGGTGACTTTACCTGGGATTCTTTCTGAAAGTGTTATCTTTTAAAATATAGTTTTATATTTTTCTTTTATAAAAATAAAAAAGTATGATGGGGATCTTTCAGCTTGGCATTCCAGGGGTGGCTCAGGATTTATTTCATCTTTTTACATACATGACTCAAGTTCTAAAAAGTGAGTCAGTCTACACTAACATCCATGCACTAGTCTAGTCCTTGATGATGGAGCAAGAATCCTGACAATGACACAGAAAGCCTGAGGTGCTGTGTCCAGCACAGCTCTTGACATTTCCTAGGGGAGGTCACTGGAGGACGAAGAAGTGAAGACAAGAGTCAGAATGCACAAAACTGAGGTCAGAGGAGCTCTTTCTCCTGATGGGAGAAAAAGAAGTGTCCAGAGACTGCAGTCAGCAAGAGGTCGACAGCAGTGAACCCCTCCTGACGGGAGCAAGGTCCTGCCTTCAGCTTGTTTGGCTGGCCTTGCCTTAGCCCTGCATGTGTGATCCATCTCCAGCTCAGCCATGCCCCACACAGAGGCTGGAAAAACCTCATGAATGAAGAAGGATTTTCAAATTGTCGGACACTGTCCCAGCCTCCACCTCTGCCTTTTTAAAAATAAATGAACAGGCTTCAAAATGGTGAAGAAGTCAGCTTGGGAAGGAGGAGCAGCATGTTTCTGGTTCCCCTGCCAGCTAGAAGAACACTGTGCCAGAAGTGCATGGGTCCCAGGAAAGGTGTGGGGACATGGAGAGTCTCTAGAGACATGGAGAGTCGCTAGAGACAGTGCCTTCCACAGGGACCTGCTCCAGAAGTTTCTTTGATGGACAGTAGGGCTCCAGAGATGGGGCATATGCTTCTCCACCTCTTGCTCCACTCCATACACTTCTGACACCTGCATTGGGTGCAGAAGCAGTGTCCAGATAGGGACCAGGACATCAGTGAGGAGGGCCATCCCAAGGGGCTTGCTGCTGTCACCATGCACAGCCCACCAGGCTTGACTCCAGCTTGGCCCAGGAAGGACCCTTCGGGAGATGCGGATGGTGCTATCATTCAGGGCATATCTTGTCCTCTCTGTGTGTGTCACTTGTGTTTCTCACTCAGGTCAAGCTCACAGACCAGGTCCTCATTGCAGCTCTGAAGATGAAGCACCACTGCTCAACAGGGCCCAGAGGCTTGGCCAGCCTGGACTGAGCACTGGCGCAGTGTCTTTCTTCCACCAGCATTTAGATTTGGGACCATCTGTGTAGAATCATCTTTTCTGATTCCTGCACTGCCAGCAAGCCATGACATCATGCTCAGGGGCATAGATCTATGTATGTTCTGTAACAGACATCCAGGGGCTTTTTGGAGTCTTTTGCTTAGGGCCAGAGCTCGGCCATGTTTTCCTCTGTTGGCCCCTAAACTGTCCTCAGAAGCTGTTTCAATAGCTGCAGGTCATCCTGGGGAAAGAACCCTAGCAGAGCTGGTCTCCACTGGCTCTGGGAGTCTCATTTGAGGGGACATGTATGGCTTGCAAATGAAGGTGGCCCTGCCCAGAGCCTTTTCCTGGCTGGACATGGGGAGCCCAGGACATCCCCACATCAGAGGGCAGGGCTGATGCTGTAGGGAAAACCAGACCCACAGGCCAGGGCTCAAGACCGAGTCTTCCCTGCCAGTTCCACGTGCCCATCTGCTCTGCTTGCACTGTGTCCAGAGTCAGCAGAGGGAGGCAGGTCTGGCTGTGTTCTATTTCAGCTCTGGCCATAGCCCTGTCCCCATAACCCCTGCCTCTGGGAGTAACACATCCCATGGCTAGGGCCCCACTGGAAAGCCTAAATTCAGAGCACAGCAGCTCCTGCTTATTCAAGCCTCACTGTGCTCAGTAGGGGTCTGCAAATGAAAAAATCTTGAAATAAACATGTTGTACATTTTAAATTGTGTGCAGATCTTCAGAACAGTGATGGTATTCCTCATGGTCCATGCCGTGGCATCCCAGGAGATGAGTCGTCCCTTTGCCTCGTATACGCACAGGGTAGGAGTTGCCCACCTGGGAGTTACTTAATTGCGTTTGTTATCAGATGGAGAAGCTGTAGCACACACAGGATCTTGGCTGAGCTCCTGTGTCCGGGGCCACCAGGTGCCCTGGCTTCAGTTCTCTTGAGCAAGAGTACGCAAGCCTGGTGCAGGCAGGATGCTGACACACAGGGAATTCAGTGTGCTCCTCCACAGCACACCTACCCCATGGGCCAGGTGCTGTGCTAACCCCACCCTGGACACGGACCTGACCCCACAGCTATTACAGCTATTAGGGCTTAAGTCTGCTGTGGGGGAGGGTATTCCAGATGAAGGACAACAGTAGGTTTGCTGTATGGATTTCAGACACCTAGGTAAATTTCAAGGTCAGATTAACCCTGTTTCTTAGTCTGGTATATTTCATTGGGTTTATTCATACTAGAAAGAAGGACCTGGTATTTTGAATGTTGCACCTCCTGGGTTTCTGGTGATGTTTTTACTGAGCCTGGTAACCCTGCTCCAGGGAGCCCCTGTGAGCTCTTAGGCCTGGGTTTGAGGACACATGGGTAAGGGCTGACAAGCAGGTTCTGGAGCCGCCCGCTTCCTCACTGAAGGGACCTCTTGGGTTTAATGAGGACAGAGATACTGGAAAGTAACACATTAAAGCCATGAGGGGATGACCTTTCTTTTCTCCCTTTCTTCCAGGAGTGGCTTAAACAGCTCCTGCTTCTACCCTCTTCTTCCAGAAATCACTCTGACCTTTTCTAAGGGCCATAGGAGTCAGCTGTCCTCGCAGCCTCCGAGGAGCTGTGTGAGCTACCACGGACTGCCACCTTCCTTTTGTGTTAGGTGGCCTCAGCTGCTTTGGAGAGGAAATGAACCCCAGGAAAGGCTACCTGAGCCTGGCGTGGTCAGGGATCTGTGGACTAGGAAAGAGGTCAAGAGCCCCTGTGGGCTGTGGAAAGAGCCTGGGCTTGCTGCCTGCACAGCTGCTCCTGCCAGTCGAGGAAGCCAGAATTCAGCCCTGGTGGCCCTCCTGT